TTTGAGGAGCAGTGTCTCACTTTGTGCCCAGGCTAGAGTGAGTGCCGTTGCGTCAGCCTAGCTCACAGCACCTCAAACTCCTGGGCTCAAGGATCCTCCTGCCTCAGCCTCCCGAGGTGCTGGGCTACAGGCATGCCACACCATGCCCGGCTAATTTTTTCTATAGATAATATTAGTTGGGGCCAATTAGTTTCTTTCTATTTATAGTAGAGACGGAGGTCTCGCTCTAGCTCAGGCTGGTTTCGGAACTCCTGACCTCTGAGAAATCCTCCCACCTCGACGGTGGGGTCTTGCTCTTACTCAGCCTGGTTTGCGCTTTTTGTCCTTTTTCAATCCATGATTGTGACTATCGGTCAACCAAATTTGCAGAAGCTTGGACATCGTGTGTCCTGTCTAATCGAACCATTAAATTTTGTATGAAAGTCCATGTTTTAGTAGGAAACTAGCCTACTTGTTGGCTTTGCTGATATTTTAAAGGATTATATGAATACACACTTGCTTTAGCCTGACAACTCTTAAATGTGAGCCCAGAAGGGCCACCAGTCCTTGACACGCAGGGTGGTACCTGTGCTGTTCTGCCCCACAGAAGTTCCCAGGGGACCTTCCCTAGACTCCCCACCCTGCTCACCTGCATGGTTGGGGTAATGAGGATGAGTTTTGGCATGAACTCAATCATCAAAGATATATTGGACATCTAAGATGAAAGCAGAAATGGGAAGCTGAGACATGTTTTTCTGTGGCAGAGATTAGTGTCACCTTACACGGAGCTGTAGAAATGCTAACATTATATGTGACTAGACTCTGAAGGCCTCAGGGGAGCATGCATGAATGTTTTAGAATCTTGTACTTCAAAGCAACACAATTTTCCAGTTTTTCAAGAAAACAAAATGTAGTAAAAACCCTGAGTGCTGTAGAAGAAACTTGCATTTTCAGTTTAATAGGCCAATTCCTTATCCATAGAATTATGAGTTGTAATAGGTTAAACGGAAAGTGTTTGGAGAGTGCTGCAAAGACCTTTAACAATGGTAGAAACTAAAGGTAACTGGTACTTTTAGTTATTGAAGTAGGAAATTCTACAATGCAGCTTCAATCAACTTCAATCAGTTGGCGTAACCCAGACATCTCTTCAACGCTATTTTCTCATTAAATGCTCACACCAATCCCATGTGGTAGGTATTAATGAATATTCTCATTATTTAAGAAGAAAAAACTGAGGTGGAACAACTTATCCAAGGTCTCATGGCTGGTGAGAGGCAGTGTGGGGATCTGAACACACAGCCACCTGGTGTCCCTTATCTCATCGGAAAAGTGGACTTCAGCGAACATGGAGAAGTCTCCTATCCTGTGTCATTAGGTTTCAATACGAAGTCCTTTGAGGCCAAGTGTGTGCCACCTTCAAATTCACCAAGCGGAGGTGGCGCTGGACTCTACGGTTGCATAAAGACTGTAAGACGAGCATCCTTAGCATGATTGATAAAATAATGTCACCTCATTTTCATGCAGTTTGTTTCTTCTTGCAGCTCTGACCTCAGAGGCAAATAAATCTTTGTAGCCCCACAGAAACAGCGAGGGGACAAGTACTTTCCCAGCCCTGTGCTGAAGGATCAAGCTTTATCCAAAGTCAAAGAAGAAGTAACAGAAGAAAATATAATCAAACCAAGTTTGATCCTACTGGACAGACTTGACTAAACAACTGAACAAAACATAAAAAAAAAAGGAATTACCCGGCATCCTCTGTGTGTGTGGCCCACTGTGGAGACGCAGCTGGTCTCGTTCTCTCCTTGTTGAATGCAGAGGTAGTTATAAAGGCAGGGACTAGAGAAGGGAGAATTACATTGAATGCATTGGATGTTGCCAAAGTACTCAGAGCGACGTTTCCCAGCCTCAGTTTCCCATCTGCCTGAAGGTCCCATTTTTAAATCCACAGTGTACAGCAGTGAAACAACGCCAAGTTACAGTGTCCCCAGAACCAAACCCCATAAAGATTTGTGTGTCTGTAGGTGGCTAGAGAGGGGAACTGCAGGCATTTCACAAACACATTTGTCTGCAGTAAAAACAAAAAAAAAATGTTTGAGAGAAAGGAGAAGGAAAACCAGGGGGCATTTGGGATGGGAGTAAAAAGGGGGCATTGGGGATGGGAGGCCAAGTAAAAAAAAAGTGAAGTAATGGAGAATATGCAGAGAAGAGGATGTTTTTTATAATGAAAGGAAGAGAAATAAAGAAGAAAAGAGAAAGAAAAAAATAAAGTAAAAGAATAGAAAGGAAAGAGAGAAGGAAGAAAAGAGAGAAAGAAGACAAAAGACAGAAAGGGGGATGGAAGGAGAGAAAACAGACGACTGGAGAGAGAGAGGAATGAGGAAGAAGAGCAGCAGCACGGGAGGAAGGAAGTGTCAGGCCTCCCCAAGCTTCTGCCCCCGAGACCAGCCTTGAGCAAGAGCCGAGACCCTGCTCTAGGATAAATAAAAGAAATTAATTGCGCAACTAATATGTTATATAGAAATAAATTAGGCTGGCATTGGTGTAGCATGCCTGTATCCCAAGCACCGGGAGCTGAGGCAGGAAAGGATGCTGACCCCGAGGAGATAGGTTGCTGTCGAGGTAGCTGATGGTCATGGCACTCACTCGTAGCCTGGCATATCAAAATAGACTCGTCTCAAAAAAAAAAAAAGAAAATCTCTCTCGCAAAGAGTCCATTCAGGTCGCGTGAAAGTGGGGTTTGGGAATCTGCACATTTCAATCCGCAGTCCAAGAGTCTCTCATTCTAGTGCTTCAGCAACATGCTTTGGGAGCACCAAGTTTGGCGGGAGCTTCGCTGAACCCCAAGATCAAACTGACCATTGACGCTGGTGTTTTCCTCTGAGCCGCAGGCGGCGCGGCTCCCCCGACTCTGCGCGATGCCACGGGATGGCTGCCTCGCTTCCTTGCTACCCTCGGATACACGACATGCCGGCCAACGCTGGTTGGGACGCGGGATGGGGACGGGTCTCAGAGCGCAGGAACACGCGAGTCCTCCCGCGGACTGCTCCCCCGGTTACCCTGTCAGGAGCCAGTGCGTCCCCGAGCAGAGCGGGAGGCCTTCGCGGCGGTCATAGCTGGGCGGTCTGGCAGCGCAGCGCGACACTGTGTACCCTCCCGCGTAGAGATACCCATGCCACCGGGCGGAAGGTCGGCTTCGTCGCGAGCGCCCGAGGGGGACGTCAGGCGACTCTGTCTTGAACTCCATGCCAGTACTAGGAGCAAAAGATATGACAGCGCACATCGCTGCGTACGTTAGAGCGGTGACTAAAGGCGCGGGAGGGGCAGTTCTCAGGCACGCCGCCGTCTCGCAGGGCAGGTGGCCGACGCCTGAGCAGGGCGGGATCTTCCCGCAGTTACGCACCCAGTGCACGGAAACGCCTGAGCCACGGGATGACATTATGACTAACAGCCACAAAACCTTTTTCTTTTTTTTTTTGACGACAGGAGTCTGCACTTTGTTTGCCCAGGCTAGAGTGGATGCCTGGCGTCAGCGCTAGCTCACAGAACTCAAACTGCCTGGGCCTCAAGGGACCTCCTGCCTCAGCCTCGGCGAGTAGCTGGGGGTACTACGAGGCGTGTCGCCACCAGCCCGGCTAATTTTGTTCTATATATATCATTAGGTGCGCCAATAGTTCTTTCGGGGTATGATAGTAGAACGGTCTCACTCTGCCTCAGGCTGGGCGTGTCGCAACTCTGTCCTCGACAATGCTCCGCCTCAACAGGGTGTTCTGCTCAGGCTGTTTGCTTTTTTTCCTTTGTCAATGCCATGATTGGACTATGCCGGTCAACACAAATTGCAGAAGCTTTTACAGCGTGGTGTCCCGTGTCTAACTCGAAGCCATTAAGATTTTGTAGAAATGTCATCGTTTTAGTAGAAAAACTAGCCACTTTTGGCTTTGCTGATATTTTAGAAGGATTAGGTATAAATTGAATACACACTTGCTTGTAGCCTTGACAACTCGGCAAATGTGAGCCCAGCAAGGCGGCAGTCCTCGACACGCAGGGTGGTACCTGGGCTGTGGTCTGCCCCACATAAGTTCCCAGGCGGACCTCCCTAGACTCGCCACCCTGCTCACCTGCGAGTGGCGGGGGGGTAGGTATCCCTCCCACCTTAGCCTCCCAAAGTGCTTAGGATTACAAGCATGAGCCACCATGCCCGGCCCATATATCTGTATACATTTTTTAAAGTGAGAACCTTTCAAAGGATTATAGAATAGAAAGAAAGACTGCAAGATTCAAAGCATGGATACCCTTAAATGATGACTTCCTCACCAATAAATGGACCACATTTGTTAAACATTTCAGTTTAGCAAACAGACATCTTCTGTGTCATGTGGGCCACCTGTTGAATGAGAGGACTCCAGATGGAAGATCAAAGACAAAAACCACAGCAGCTTTTAGGATGGGTCCTCAACTTAGTAAAAATAAAAATAAAGGTACAGTGCCCTTTGAGAACTGGCCCCTAAATTTCCTTCCTCTACTTCACAGTATGACAATGACATGTATTCAGGGACTTTGGCCAAGCAATTTTTGAAGGTTTAGGAAGCATTGAACACAACTTGATAATATTTATCATGTTTACAAATGCATTTTGAAACATGTACATCGCAATCTATATAAAAATAAAGCTGTGAACAGCTGGACAAGAACATTGGTCTACTTTCCGGACTTTTTTCCAAGTTCCTTGACATCGAGGATTGCCGATTGCTTGCCAGTGGAGAGTTTGATTTCTGAAACGATATTTTGAAAACGTTAGTTACACTAAAAGCAAACTGAAGAAAATTCTAATTTACAGATGTTTTAAAATATGTATATTGATCACACACAGAGGTTTAAAGCACAATTAATTTTTTAAAAAATTAATTGCACTTTAATTGCAAATTAATTTTTTTAAAAGGATCACAAACAGAATTTCCCTTCTTTAGGTTCTTGTCAAAGCAAGTTACCAATTAATCCCATCTGAGGACACCCTCATGTTGAGAGAGTAGTTTGGGGTCACTGTGTTTGCTGTTCCCCCTTGATCTGAATACAAGTACTACATAAATGAAAGCAGCTTATTCATGTATATTTAATTTAAATTAGGAGGATCTGAACCAAATAACCTCTTTTAATCCTTTCCAACTCTTTGATTCCATCATAAAAAAAAAATGGGAGAAATGGAAAGAGCAAAGCCAGATTATTAAAATTATTTATTTTTAATATTATTTTTAAACCCACTGGCACCTCAGCCAGGGTTTAAGTACTCTCTTTATGGGTACAAATTAAATTATGAATTCATTTAAAGTCAAAATATGGATGAGGTATTCAGAAAAATATTAAGTCTAAATATTAAGTTTCTATTTGATATGAATTCCTGACCCCCTTTACTGTTCATATGGTGTGCTCAGTAGAGGCCTTTAGGCACAAGTGACTAATAAACATAAATTCAAGTTATTAAATATTAAAACATACCATGGGAATAGCGATTAACTGGAAAGGCCCATATTTTACTTTTTAATCTGTATTTTTACCAGTTCCACCTGATAGACCTAAACCCATAATCCATGTGTGACCTAAATTGCTCAGCACAAAGTTGACTCTTCTCTTAGTTATGAATAGAGTTATCAAATTTAAATGGTTGATCAGTGTAGGGCTGGGCTAGATTTCCAGAGTGGTAATTGGGGGCTGATTCTTTCAGAAGATCTACAGATTTTTATAAGGTTATGACCCTGTAGAGCTGAACCCACCATCTCAGTCACGATTTTGTGAAAAAGCCCCATGGAGCAGTGGTTCTAGAACTCCACAGTTTGTATGAATGACCTGGGCAGGGGTCAGGAAACTATGGCCCCTATATGCCAAAGCCAGCCTATCCCCTCTTTTTGTCTAGGCTGCAAGTTAAGAATGATTTTTATGTTTGAAAAAAGAGTTAGAAAGCAAAAGAATAATAATATTTTGTGACACATGAAAATTATCTGAAATGCACATTTTAGTGTCTATAAATAAAGTTTTGTTAGAACAAAACCAAAGTTTACATCGTGTCTGTGGCTACTTTTGTGTTACAAAGTCAGAGCTGAGTGGCTGTCCCAATGGCCTACAAAGCCAAACCAACTACTTTCTGGCCCTTTACGGAAAAAGCTGTCTGACCTCTGACCTAAAAGATGATGAAAAAAATCTCTCTCCATGGCCAGGTGCGGTGGCTCAGGCCTGTAATCCTAGCACTCTGGGAGTCCGAGGCGGGCGGATTGCTCAAGGTCAGGAGTTTGAGACCAGCCTGAGCAAGAGCGAGACCCTGTCTCTAGTATAAATAAAAGGAAATTAAATGGCCTAATATATAGAGAACTAATATATATATAGAATAATATATATAGAAAAAATATATATAGAAATAATATATTATATATTAGATAATTAGATTATATATAGAAAAAATTAGCCGGGCATGGTGGCGCATGCCTGTAGTCCCAGCTACTCGAGGCTGAGGCAGAGGATTGCTTGAGCCCAGGAGTTTGAGGTTGCTGTGAGCTAGGGCTGACGCCACGGCACTCACTCTAGCCCTGGGCAACAAAAGTGAGACTCTGTCTCAAAAAAATAAAAAAAAAAAATCTCTCTCCAAAGAGTCCAATTCAGTCGGCGTGAAGTGGGCTTGGGAATCTGCACATTTCAATCTCCATCCCAAGAGGTTCTCTGTCTAGTCGGTCTTCAGAACACTGCTTTGGAGCCACCAAGTTTTTGGTGGGAGCTTGGGCTGAACCCCAAGATCAAAGCTGACCCATTGACTGCTGGTGTTTGTCCTCTGAGCTCCGCAGGGGGCGCTGGCGTCCCCCGACTCTGCGGCGATTGCCACGCGGATGGCTCCGCGCTTGCCGTCCGACCTCGGATACACGACATGCCGGCCAGCGGCTTGGGACGCGGATGGGACCGGTGTCTCAGAGCGAGGAACACGCGAGGGTCCTCCCGCGACTGCTCCCCCTTACCCGTCAGAGTCCAGGCCGTCCCCGAGCAGCGGAGGCTCGCGGCGTCCATAGCTGGCGGCTGGCAGTGCACGCACACTGTGTACCCCTCCCGCAGATACCGCATCCACCGGGTCAAAGGTCGGTTCTCCAGCGCGCAGTGAGGAGTCAGGGACTCTGTCTTGAACTCCATGCAGTACCTAGAGCAAAAGAAGTGACAGTCGCACATGCTGTAGTTAGAGGTGGACTAAAGCTGCGGGAAGTCTCAGGACGCCGCCGTCTCGCAGGGCACGTTGCGGACGCGAGCAGTGCATCTTCCCAAGTTACGACCCATCACGGAACGCCTGAGCCGATGACATATGACTACAGCACAAAACCTTTTCTTTTTTTTTTTTTGAGACAGTGTCTCACTTTGTTGCCCAGGCTAGAGGAGTGCCGGCGTCAGCCTAGCTCACAGCAACCTCAAACTCCTGGGCTCAAGGGATCCTCTGCCTCAGCCTCCGAGTGCTGGGACTACAGGCATGCCACCATGCCCGGCTAATTTTTCTATATATATATAGTTGGCCAATTAGTTTCTTTCTATTTATAGTAGACGGAGGTCTCGCTCTAGCTCAGGCTGGTTCGAACTCCTGACCTCGAGCAATCCTCCCACCTCGACGGGTCTTGCTCTACTCAGCCTGGTTTTGCTTTTTGTCCTTTTTCAATCCATGATTGGACTATCCGGTCAACACAAATTTGCAGAAGCTTGGACATCGTGTGTCCTGTCTAATCGAACCATTAAATTGTGTATGAAAGTCCATGTTTTAGTAGGAAACTAGCCTACTTGTTGGCTTTGCTGATATTTTAAAGGATTATATAAATTAAATACACACTTGCTTTAGCCTGACAACCCTTAAATGTGAGCCCAGAAGGGCCACCAGTCCTTGACACGCAGGGTGGTACCTGTGCTGTTCTGCCCCACAGAAGTTCCCAGGGGACCTTCCCTAGACTCCCCACCCTGCTCACCTGCATGGTTGGGGTAATGAGGATGAGTTTTGGCATGAACTCAATCATCAAAGATATATTGGACATCTAAGATGAAAGCAGAAATGGGAAGCTGAGACATGTTTTCTGTGGCAGAGATTATGTCACCTTACATGGAGCTGTAGAAACGCAAATTATATGTGACTAGACTCTGAAGGCCTCAGGGAGGCATGCATGAATGTTTTAGATCTTGTACTTCAAAGCAACACAATTTTCCAGTTTTTCAAGAAAACAAAACGTAGTAAACCCTGAGTGCTGTAGAAGAACTTGCATTTTCAGTTTAATGGGCCAATTCCTTATCCATAGAATTATGAGTTGTAATAGGTTAAACGGAAAGTTTGGAGAGTGCTGCAAAGACCTTTAACAATGGTAGAAACTAAAGGTAACTGGTATTTTAGTTATTGAAGTAGGAAATTCTCAATGCAGCTTCAATCAACTTCAATCAGTCGGCGTAACCAGACATCTCTTCAACGCTATTTTCTCATTAAATGCTCACACCAATCCCATGTGGTAGGTATTAATGAATATTCTCATTATTTAAGATGAAAAAACTGAAGTGGAACAACTTATCCAAGGTCTCATGGCTGGTGAGAGGCATGTGGGATCTGAAAACACAGCCACCTGGTGTCCCTTATCTCATCGGAAAAGTGGACTTCAGCGAACATGGAGAAGTCCCATCCTGTGCATTAGGTTTCAATACGAAATCTTTGAGGCCAAGTGTGTGCCACCTTCAAATTCACCAAGTGGAGTGGCGCTGGACTCTACGGTTGCATAAAGACTGTAAGACGAGCATCCTTAGCATGATTGATAAAATAATGTCACTTCATTTTCATGCAGTTTGTTTCTTCTTTGCAGCTCTGACCTCAGAGGCAAATAAATCTTTGTAGCCCCACAAAACAGCGAGGGGACAAGTACTTTCCCAGCCCTGTGCTGAAGGATCAAGCTTTATCCAAAGTCAAAGAAGAAGTAACAGAAGAAAATATAATCAAACCAAGTTTGATCCTACTGGACAGACTTGACTAAACAACTGAACAAAACTAAAAAAAAAAGGAATTACCCGGCATCCTCTGTGTGTGTGGCCCACTGTGGAGACGCAGCTGGTCTCGTTCTCTCCTTGTTGAATGCAGAGGTAGTTATAAAGGCAGGGACTAGAGAAGGGAGAATTACATTGAATGCATTGGATGTTGCCAAAGTACTCAGAGCGACGTTTCCCAGCCTCAGTTTCCCATCTGCCTGAAGGTCCCATTTTTAAATCCACAGTGTACAGCAGTGAAACAACGCCAAGTTACAGTGTCCCCAGAACCAAACCCCATAAAGATTTGTGTGTCTGTAGGTGGCTAGAGAGGGGAACTGCAGGCATTTCACAAACACATTTGTCTGCAGTAAAAACAAAAAAAAAATGTTTGAGAGAAAGGAGAAGGAAAACCAGGGGGCATTTGGGATGGGAGTAAAAAGGGGGCATTGGGGATGGGAGGCCAAGTAAAAAAAAAGTGAAGTAATGGAGAATATGCAGAGAAGAGGATGTTTTTTATAATGAAAGGAAGAGAAATAAAGAAGAAAAGAGAAAGAAAAAAATAAAGTAAAAGAATAGAAAGGAAAGAGAGAAGGAAGAAAAGAGAGAAAGAAGACAAAAGACAGAAAGGGGGATGGAAGGAGAGAAAACAGACGACTGGAGAGAGAGAGGAATGAGGAAGAAGAGCAGCAGCACGGGAGGAAGGAAGTGTCAGGCCTCCCCAAGCTTCTGCCCCCTGGATAACACCTGGCCTGAGTGCCCAGTGCTAGGTGGCACAGCTGTCCCCATGCAAGCTCATGGAAAGTCTACAGTGGTCACCTTCTTCTCCCTCTCATCCTCCCAATCCTACCCTAGCTCTGATACTCTGGGTCAGAGAAGGAATCCTTCCTCCAGCCTCTGCTGTCTTTTATTTTGTTGCTGTAACCTTCTTCCTATCTCATCACTAAGTCTAGGAGGCATTTGTTGCTATATAGCACCTAGAGGTAACTTGTTGACTCCCGCCTGCTGTCAACTCGAGGGAGATAGGGCTATGCCTTATTAATCGCTATACCCTTCTCACATTTGCACACCCAATAAAAATCTGTGCAGTGAATGAACGGGCCAAGGACTGAATGAATGAGGTCAGGCCAGCCACCAAAATGCACAGGTCCTACTTCCCCATGGTCTTCTGTTCCTATATTGAGCCTGGTGGCTGAGAGGGCTCAACAGTCCTTCCTACCTTTTGTTTTAGCAACTGGATGATCCCAGGAAGGGTAGATACAAGACGACATTGACTTGTGAGATGCCAAAGTCATCATCAACAGGAGCTCAGTGGCACGAGGGTAGAAGTTCCAAAATAGATACGAAATAGATGCTTCAAGCCTTCGTGTTGGTTTTACCTGGCTCCATCCTGTCCCAAGATGACAGGCCTTAATTCTTTTTGAGATTTTCTTAATGAGGAGTCATTTTTATATTACTAGGGAATTTAAGACAAGAGGAGGCTAATACCAGGTAGCCACTTGCTCCCAAGAGTTGCAGGTACGGTTCTTGTCTCATGTGGTTTGGTGCCTAATCTCTCCAGTATGAAAATTATACACATCCAGGCTAAAGCCTAGAGCCCGAGCTTGTGTGGATCATTCTTGTTGCACTGACATGTTTAATTGTTTTCCAAAGAGAGCACATCACACTTTCTAAACGTGACCGTAGCTTTTGCATTTCTAAAATCCACATACAGAAAAAAAAAAAGAACAAGTGAGTGCATGTATGTTAGGACCCTTCTCTGATTCTCTCAGACCTAATTATCAAAAACACAAACATCTAAAGGGTTTTTAGTTTTCCCACATATTGTTTTCATGTCTGTTCTTCAGACACATGTGTTTATTCACTAAATGAAGAATAAATTTACTGCTAAATCCATGTGGCATTATACAAGCCAGACTATCACATTTTCAGGATATGTTTCTTTAGCCCAAAACATTTACATAATCTCCTAATTTGTATTGCAACTGCACATATCATTACAAAAGGTCAAAGGTAAGATACTGAATGGACAGCTCAGGAAAAAAATGAGGCTAAGTAGCGGAAGAAAAAAATAAGTATATAACTCTAGTTTCTGATATAAAGTTCTTATAAAATATTCTATAATAATAAAAACAACAGCTAACAATTATGCACTTCTAAATTTCCAGATGCAACTTTAAGTCACTTTTTACATATTAATTCATTTGATTCTCACAGCCCTCTGAGATAGAGTCCCCATTTCACAGATGAGAAAATCGTGGCATGGAGAGGTTCTGTGTTTAAGGCTCATGTCTAAATATGGCAGAACCAGGCAATATCTCCCAAACCATACTCCTCAGCACACCACTCAGCTGCCTCTGGGATGCAGATTACAAAGTTCCAGTATTTTATGTGACATACTTCCCATGAATTATTCAAATTCTGCTTTCCGTCTCTAATCACTATCCTCTATGTGTAGTCAGATATAAGAAAGGAAAGGAGACATTTTTAGCCCACTGTACTCACAGTCCCCTCAAGCCCAGCGTGGGGGGCAGGCTGGGGAGGGGGAAGTTGGGGGGGGCGGGCACAGAGTGGGCGGAGTTACCCGTCACCCCCTTCCTGTGACGGCCCTTGTATTTTACAGCCTGCTCATTTGCAAAGTAATTTCACATCATATGTTACCAATCCTCCCCAAAACTTTATAAATCGGTGTTACACCAATTTTATTCATCAGAAAACTGAGGCTTGTAGAGGTTGGATGAAGGGAAAATAAATCAAATAACTAAGCAAGGGCCCCAACACAGAGGAGATCTTCCTTTTTTTAAGACTCAACTATCATGTTCAGTTTCACGCTCCTGGGAAGCCAGTTGCCCAGGGCCTGTCTCCTCCACGTCGTCGGCTTGGTTTGGTGGCACCTTCTATTTCTGGGGCTCCTCCCTCCACACAGGAGACCAGGAGCCTTCAATACACATACCAGAAGCCAGATTCCCTGGAGGTCCCCAATCCAGCACCACTTTTTACTGCTCCCCACAAATTTGAGTTTCATTACTTCAGAGAGTGGTAAATAATTTAGAAATCATTTTTGCCTTCAGCTGCACTTATGCTTTTGTGTGGAAGCACGTAGCCAGGTGCCCTGGGACAAAGGCTCCCAGTACACGTTAGCTCCCCTCCCTTCCCCTTTCCTGGCAACAGTATTCAAACGTAACATAGTCTCTGTTCTCGGGTGCTTTGCCAACTTCCCTGGCGTTCTATCGGCCTGCCATTGTCCGGCTTTACAACAACTTCCCCTTCTAAGAGAGTGGCACTGCGCAAACTTACTTTGAACATGAAAGCGACTTAAATTTGCTTTGAGAATTTCATAACGCCCTCCGACACAATGGGGTGTCACAAAATCAGGCTTAGGGTCACTGGTCTACAGACAGTGCAGAAGAGAATAAAATGAAAAATCGACAATTAGCACTTACCTGGAAGCACAGAGTTTATAATAATGTAAATCGATCTCCTTTTAGGAAGAAAGCACACATGAAGAACTGTCAGTAATGTGCAACAAATTCTATAATGTGGCTTTTTTTATTTGATTTTTATGATTAAAATGTAATCACCATATACAAGGGGTGTCGGGAAAGTATCCAGCCATGTAATATGTTCCTGTTATATTAACAATGGCTGGATACTTTGCGGACAGTCCTTGTACATTAAATGCAACAGGAAAAAAAATGCATTGGCCACTTGATCATTAATTAGAGAGCTTTAGGAATTATGTTTCATTCACGGGCTTCATAGGGCCCTTATATTTCTGCTTTGTTACGAGAATCTATAATCATGATTTTAGCTCTAATGCTGACATTTAATAGCAAAACAATATGGGGGGGGGAGATCCCCACAGGACTTAGAGCCATCAGATCCAGGTTTAAGTTCCGGTAGGCATTTACACATGCTGTCACCTCTCAGAACCCCAAAGTCCTCATGTGTAAACCAAGGATAAGGGCCTGGTCCCACCTCCCTGTGGTAGACAGAGTAATGGCCCCTCAAAGATGTCCATGTCCTAATCTCCAGAGCCTAATGTGCCCTTTCTAGCTGCCAAAAATGGCAAAGAAGCAGACTGGCAGCTTTTCCTGATAGGTTGGCTCTAGCTTTTAAGAGCCACCAAAAAAAAAAAAAAAAAAAATCAATAATGCCATACAGCATCTTCCTCCCTGAGCTGTTGCTGTTACGTTTCTGCAGAGAGCATGAGCTGAACTATGACTGTTTCTGTGAGCAGCCACGTTCGGAGCACGAGAGGATTTCCCTGTGAGCAGAAGGTGGCAGCCGTGTCAATGAGCGAGCTCTATCCCACCCTGCTGTTCGCCTCTCTACTACCAGAACAATCTTTTCAAACCATACATCTATTCATTCCATCAGCTCCTGCAGAACACACCCTAGAGAATTTTCAGGGCTCTTAAGATAAAGACCAGAATCCTAAATAGGGTGTTCTCTGAGCACCCCTCATGCAGGCCTTCCTTCTGCTTCTCGCCTGGGCCTGGCCCTCCCCTGTGTTATATAAATAAGCCAAACAGCCTCTCACAGTAATGCTGATACCCCGTTGAGGGTTAGGGACGAGACATGAGACCCCCAGGAGTGGGACAGGACTTTGCTAAAGAGCAACCTGTGGACATGTCAGTTAACTAAGCAAAAGCTGCTCGACCTTGAGGGTGACATTCCACCAATCAGGGATGTTGGTAAACAGACCCTGCCTTGAAGCCTGAGGGCTACAGCCTGGATGTCTGCAAACAACTAGGCTTGTAAGTGGAAGAGCAGTTTGTTACTCTAAGCCAGAGGCAATGTTCCTATATCTCTCCTGAGTTCAAATCTCAGTAAATAAGGAACTAGATAAAGTAGAGAGAAGTACCCGGTCTCTTCTGTTCCTGTTTAAATTATATGCTTTATTGCTAACCCATAAGCTTTTCACATGAAATCATTGTAATCCTTAACATGAAAAAGAGAATAAAAACGAGTGCTAAACTTCAGTCAGTACCACCGGGCCTGGCCCTCCCCTGCGTTAGGGGAATGCTGGTGGTCCCCTGACCTCCCCACACCTTTTCACCTTACTTTTTGTGTCCGTGTCTTTTTATTTATTTTTTTCTTTTTTTCTTTCCTACTAGACCAAACAAATCATTT